AGACTGAGTTCAATTAGCGGACACGGTGAGGAAGACTATCGACGACCACCAGAGGACCCTGAGAGACCACCAATGAACATAAGAGCACATGCGTTAAAGACTCTTACATATGTTAATGAGTTTCAGGAAATAACATGAATATGCTAATGAAATTCAATGAATATGTATATTCTGGTTGTACATAACTCTGGTAATTGAGAGATTCAGCGCGCACACTAGGTGGAGCGATCCCCTGTGCGCCTGGTGCCGCAATAAAGAATGCCTGCTTTCTAAAACGCCAAATTGAGTCTTAGAAAGTTTTTAATTTGCCAGCTTATGGTAACAGTTCCCTCTAAATAAAGCAGTTTGACAATAGTTTTGTTGAAAGATGCATGCACATGAACAAAATTGGACCATTTACTCTTCTCTTACCTTCTTAGATCTCCAACAACGACAGTACACAGCCTTGTCTCCCAGATCTTCCATATCAAATGCATGGACTACCTTGGGGTTATCCTTCTGGATATGGGGATTCACCATTGCTTTGCAGCATTTGTCTTTAGAGAGAAATTTTTTGTAAGCGAGATACCCAACAGCAGCTGCTCCAGCAGCTACGGAGACTGCAGCAATCCATTCAACTAGAATAAAAGAGAAGAAAAAAAGAGACTATCACTTTTTGACCACAGCTTTCTATTAAAACTGCTCAGTAGTCAATGTCTTCATGCTTGTAGCAACACCTCTACTTTCCAACAGACCTTTTTGTTCTGTAGTGGTAACGCAGTACTTGGGAAGAATATATTCTTTCGACACTCACCTAGTTAATCTACTCCTTTCTCCTGATCAGAGTTCTCCTTCACCCCAATCCCTTCTACACAAGGGTGAGGATTAACCTGGCAGGGTCTGGTTTTTTGGGGTTTTTTTTAAACCTTTTGTTTGGGAACTTGTGATACCAACATCGGTAGTATAGCGTTTCGAAGTTCAGCACATTAAACCAGCTATAAGTACACCCCGTAGCAACAAAACCCCCTGTTGTTTCAGTTGCAGGAAAGTCACTAAAGAAGAACACTCAGCATCAACAACCCAAGCAGGATCCCCCCCAAGGTATGGGTACCGAGTAGCTTTTAATATAATGCATCTTGCAACTAAAAATGTTAACAGGTGTTTGGCAATAGGGAAATTATTTAATATACTACCACTTCAGAAGAATAACAAAAGCCAGCTTAGATTAAATCCCTACTGTGGTGTACAGAAAAGAATATGGATCCAAAAAGATTATATTTAAGAATAATAGCACGAGTTCATTTTAATTGGATTAGGTCCTGACTCCCTGAAAGACAACTTCTATTAAAAAAAATCCCCCCTCCCCCCCCCGATA